GAAAAAGTTTAAACAAAGAATAATGCTTTTACTTATTGTGATTTTTTTTTTATGAAAACAACATACATTTTTTAGTATATGTATCCAAAATTCCCTAAATTTCCAGATGTAATTAGCACCTGAAGCTGATAAGAACACTGCTTTCAAGTAAGAAGCTCACACCTACTGTCTTTCCCACCAGACCTGAAAGAAGCATTAGATCCTGCTGCTGATGCTTATGCTGCTGTCTTCTATCGTGCACAAATACACACACACACACAAATCACACCCCACCCTGCACTGTGCTCAACATCCCGGGCCAGCACTACTCCTGTGCCGCCATGCATCTGCTGCTGCTGCTAAATATAGCAATCCCACATTGATGATGCAGCGGTGACTGAACTCAAAACCCCCAGCCCCCCCCCACCACTCCTCCCGCCTCTCAATGGCGCAATTAGCCCTAATAAACTGAGAGTGAATTCATGATGCATGGAGGAATCTGGCTAACCCTCCAAACCCGTGCAAGCCCCTACCATCCTGCCCTCCAATTGCCATGAATGGAGTCTTTGCAATGGGACAGATGTGATCTGTTTGTGAGGAGATGAAGCAGGAGCAAGTGAGAGAGAGCATAACATTAGAGGTAAATAAGAGAGATAGAGAGTGAGTGAGTGAGTGAGTGAGTGAGTGAGTGAGTGAGTGAGTGTGTGTGTCCAAATCCTGGCTGGGCATCATTTCCACTGGGAGAAGTACACACACAGCAACGTGGCTCTATGGATAGCAATGTGGTTTTATCAGCGGGTCCACAACTTTGGTCCAGACTGAAAAATCATTACCAAATATGCCAATGTTAGCATGCTAACATGATAAACTAAGATGATGAACATGGTAAACATTGTATTTGCTTAATGTCAGCATGTTCGAATTGTCACTGTGAGTGTGTTGGATCAAATCACCAGCCTCACAGAGTCGCTAGTCTGGCTGTAGACTCTTACTCTTAACATTTGGTATTACAAGCGTGTGACCAATATAAGACCTTTAAACAACTAACATCCAAAACGCATTAAATTGTAGCATGCATACATATATGTGGGAAGACAAAATGAAACCATAATACTGCATTTTCAATACTGTATATTGTTCGACCTCTAATGAGCAGAGAAGAGGTAGCCATTATTGCACTATAGAAAGATGAGCACCTACAGACACTCCCAGATAATTCAAACAAAATTAAAAACAAACTGTTTTATTGAAATTCAGCATGAGCGTCTGCTACCAGCAGAGAGAAGAACTGAATTTCAAAAGCACGTAAACCTCACAAATTAGCCTACCATGGCAGATGGGTGACTTTGTTTTCATATAAGAGAAAGCAGTTTGAACACTTGTACAAAAACTCTGAAGCTACACTTACACTCCTAATCATCACCTCTCCTCAAAGAAGGGCTGTTTCATGGCATACAAGCATCAATTTTCTACATCACACCAGGTAGAGAAAGATTTACTGTTGGTAATAACGCCTCTGTCTGCCAAACATCCTGACAGCCTATTAACACCAGACAAAACCATCACTCTGGTATGATGACAACAGTCACAGATGGTTAAATGATTAATAGAGACGGAGACAGGGCGACTCACTAAGAGATAGGTGGATATAGCTAAATGACAGAGAAAAAGGAATAAGGAGAAACAAGAGAGGACAATGCTGAAGTAGGACAGAGCGCAGGGGAGGCCCGTCTGTCCCAGATCAGTCGTTTACTGCCGGCAAGAGAGGGAGAAGGAACAAGTGAGGTAGGGAAAAAAGAGAGAAAGGAGTTAGAGAGTAAAGAGATGGCTAAATTTGGAGTTATGAACTACATCCCCCCCCCTAGCAGCGTAGCAAATATTGAAAAGACTGTTAAGCTCCTATCCTTGCACTTGGGCAAATATAGCTAGGAGAGGGACTGAAAATAAAATAATCGCAATACCTCAGACAAAATAAGGCTACAACTATAGGGCTTTGACAAGTTGTCAGCACAGCATCAACTGAACAGAGGGATGATCAGTCCAAAAGACACAGCATTTTCCCCCTTTCTCTCCTTCCAAGCACCTGTGGAAGAGCATTCAGAATAAACATGGATTGAAATAATCCAATTAAAGCCAATTAATCAACATGTAACTTCTTCTAGTCCTGTTTTTCCTCTTTGAGACAGGTCATTTCTGCCCTAGTCAGAAGAGATTTTGATCCGCAAAGAGGAACTGCACAGGGGGGTAATGTCAGCTGGATGCTTTGTCCTCTGTGTGTGTAGTGTGGAACTGAAGTGTGGCGTTCCATAGCACTTTACAACGAAGAAGAAATTAATGGTATTTCCCTGCTAACGTGGGCAGAATGTTAATTCCTCGGCTCAAGGGGCAAATCATGGGTGTTTGCTGGACCTTGACTCTCTTTGTGCCAAACAACATCTGAAGTACAAACTACATGACAGTCAGATCAGCTCCACTTCCACAGGCCAAATTAACTGAGTTCCCATGGTGTCAAACTAAACAGATCTGCACGCTTCCATCTGCACCTAACCTCTGAACCTCTTCACACTGACGGACTCCTGTTTGATGCTGAGTTTCTCACATCATTCAAAGACTTCAAACATGATCTGACCAGCCTGCTGATTAGTTGGAACAGTCATTGACATTTTGCCTGTTGTTGAGGCAAGTAAAAAGACGTAATGTTGTAAACTGAAGATTTTCAAAAGTCAAAATTCGTGCTTCACATCAAAATGATCTGACTACAGTTAGATATCAACAGCACAAGAATTTAAAAGAAACACCAGAGATCGTTAATAGTTTTCATACAATATTTTGTGCCTTTTCATCCTTGCATAACAGGACTTGCTACTGTTGCTATAATGGCTACAGTGATTAGCCTGCAGCTCAAGCCGACGATAACTAGGCCCATGTATAAAGAATTAACAGCATTAACAGTTTACAGCTTTAAAAGTAACTTACAAGAGTTGGACAAGAGGTAGACTATGTTGGTCTGGACCGCTATCACAAAGGAGTCTCATTTCTGTGATGATTAGCTATTAATTACACACAAATGTTGAAAAGAAAGAAAGTTCTCAAAGGTATACAAAAGCCAGACAAGCAAATCACGTGGTATAGTGATTAGTTGGACCTGCATTCCAGCCTCCATCATCCATCTCTGCCTTAGAAACTGCAGGAGGATTAAATAAATGTGAAACTCATTGCACTGCTTTTATCCAACATGTGCAATCTAATGTGTTTGGCAGATAAGACTCTCTTTTTTTTTTTATATGAGCCAGTGAAGCGCCACTGAAACTGATCTATGGGGAGCTGGTAGCAATAAGTTAACGTGTAGCGACTGCCTGACATTAGTATATGATGAGTGTGTTTGAACTTACAGCACCACTCTCAGCAAAGACTGAGTCATGTATCTGTAGCACACCAACACTTAACAGAATAATCACTACACATTGTCAAAAGCACTTCACTTTTGTACATCAATACAGACTATACACTTCACCAAATCGACCATTTATGCGCGGATGGTAGCTTTCAAAGTTTTCACTGTTAAAAATTTCACCCATGGTATGTAATGTCGGCTGTCTTCTCTGATGATCCGCTCTTCCATCCTCTACTTCCACGTCCCTGAGGCGACGCACCACATACAGAGCATGAATAGCATGTGCATGTGTGAGTTACTATGACTCTGTGTGGGCGAAGTGCCGCCATATGCCATTGTCCAAACCTCTGTGAAGCCAAAACTGAACACACAGCCAAATCTCTTGCGCTTCAACGCCTCCAACAACAAGTTATTTGCAGTTTAAATTCAATACTGCCTCATTATGCTGAAATCCACCTCGCCGCTCTGTGCATCACACATATAAAAGAAGCTTGTGTGTAATTACGTGTGCCCTGTAAGGTGACCTGCCATCACCTTCCTGTGGGCTGTGTTCAATAAAGACAAAGGCATCTATAGACAGACCAAAATCAGGTGGAGAGATAATGACAGGGGTAGCCCAAACACATGTTCTCTGCTGGCAGGGTGACCCTTTTCTTGTAGAGGTAGCCACTCGAGTGAAAGGACAGCAGTTTGAATATCCGCTATCATATTCATCTGCTGTTTAATGCATGGCAAAACACTTATATCTATATCCGCTCCTGAGTCTATTATTCCACACATTTTTATGATAAAGTGCATCTGTGTCCATGTTCATCCATGCATACCTTGCCTAACACGCTACAGTCAACACACAAGTGTAGCCAAAGTGTGATTTACTAGGTGACTTTATGCACTGGTTTGCCTTTTAATGTGAACACAGAGCAGTGAGCTGCTCAGTGCACCATATCATCAGCAATCCCTGGCAGGCATGCAAATGTATGTGGGAGGGATTATCAGTTTGACACAATGATCTCACATTTCTCATACATCTACCTATATCTATCCTATTTATTGATGCTGCCACATAAATTGTCTGATTCCCTGTCTTGTCTCGGTCTCATCTACACTACATCTGTGTTCCTCCACTGTTGCCTCATCGTTTTTTTTTATTCTCCTACTTTCTCACTTCTCCCTTCTTCTTCTGCCTCTCTTTAAAGCTGGGATAGCGTTCATCTGCTGGCATCAAGGAGCGATCCACTATCAAACACACTGCTTGGTTTGCTTTCCTTGTGTCTGTGCATCCTTCAGCAGATCCTTTCAAAGCAGTTTTGCTTTTCTCATTTCATTTTACTTTCATTTCAAGTGTTATTTTGTGCAGCTGCGGTGTATCTTCATTTAAATCTGGGATACAGCATGCGAGAAAGGAATTACAGTTACAATGCAGGAAACTTGAACATGCAAAAACCGCCTCCCACCCCCTGCTGCACACACACACACATACACACACACACTCCCTTTTGACTCCACCACTGTCCCTCCACAAACATAAAATCACTCTCCTCCGCTTTTCCATCACCCCCCTCCATCTCCATGCCTCCTTGAGAGAAAAGAAAGAAAGAAATGCAGAAAAGACAGAAAACCTTCTTACTGTCTTCTACAATCCCTGATGAAAAACAGAAATCCCTCCACTGGAAAAAGGGACAGAAGTAGAAAAGAGAGGAGGGGTAGCCCAGCGGTTGCCAATTGCAGAGGAATAAGGAGTGAGGAGGGGCGAGTAGGAAGATGATGAAGAAGACTGTGGTTAAAGGGAGAAAAAAAAGAAAAGAAAAGAAAATCACTGCTGCAGCAATGAAGACCCTCTTCCTCCACAGTCGCCGCTGCCACGAGAAATCACAAGGTGTCCAGCGTGCTGCCGTACGCTGAGGGATGGAGCATTATCCTCGGCTCCCAGCCCGTCCACCAGCAGCAGCAGCTCTGTAGTAACACTTCTATCCACTCGGTCCAGCAATCTCCCCATCCCTCGCTCGCTATCCTCCCCTCCTCCCTCCCTTCAGCATGTTCAGAGTGCCCCTGTCTCTCTCTTTTTCGTTCCCTCTCTCTCCTTATACTGGTTGGTTGGTTTCTCTCCCTCACCCTCCCTCGCACACCTCTCCCTCGCTCTCTTTTGTCCCCCCTCCTCCCTACACCTCTCTCTCCTCCATCATTACCCGGATACAGGGCATACCCCTCCCTCCCTCCGTTTATGTCTCTCTCTCTCTCTGTGTCTTTGATGTTATGGAGTTAGACTCTTAGCTGTGAAAAACTCTGTTTTTTTCCTTCTCACAGAACTGGAAGCACCATAGAACACAGTGGGATCCACCCAACGGTGCAGAGATACACACCAAAGCACACACGCACACACACACAAAAGATTATCCAATAATTACCACGCAACGTCAACAACAAAACCACACACATCAATTAGAGCAAAATTTCTCATTTTTAACGGATTCCTTCCATAATCCAATGATTATATCCAAATCAAATATACACAACAGCGCAGTCTGCGGCAGTGAAGCCAACATGTGTATTCTCTCTCACACACACACACACACACACACACACACACACACACACACACACACAGAAATATGAATAAGGAATGAAAGAGATGTGTATAAGAGGATGAGGGAAGCCACTGCTGCAATGCTTATTACCATACGTAGAGCAGAGTGAGGGAGTGAGAGGACTGTGGGTGGAGAGGGAGTCTTTTACTGACGAGCTGAATAGCAAGTAGAAATCAACTCCATTATGCCAATCATTGAGGAGTGAAACATGTCAAACTCATCATTGGCTTTGATAAGCTAACACCCCTTTAATAGTTGGGGATGAGGGGTAGGGGGGGGACAAAGAAACAGATGTTTCTCACCAGTCAGATCTCCCTCTTGTTGCTGAGGGTGATAAACATAAAGTCTGTGTTGGCTTTGTCGACACTCAGTTAGTCAAAAGCTCTTGTGGATATTAAAGCAAGACCCCCCCACCCCCCCCAAGAAAAACTGGTCTGGTTACAGCTGATGATGAGAAGTGTTACGCTGCATGTCAAATGTTGACAACATATCACTGGTTTATAATCCAGTGATGGATCTAAAGGGAAAGCTCTCCTGCATCTGTTTCACACTGTTACATGAAACATTATTATTATCAGACTATGAAAAATGGCTTCTCCAACCTGGCCTGTGTTACATTTTACCCTGTTAGGTTGAAACATTAGTCACATTAGTCCAGCCAGAGGACCCAAGGTGTTCCATCAAACAAAACCCCAAAATTTACAATTTTCTTAAATGTAGGACAAAAGAAAAACAGGAGAAATATCAATCGAGAAGCTGAAATGTTCAATTAAACGATCAAATATTTGGAATATTTACTTAAAAAAATCATTTAAACGGTGAGTCGATTATAAGCTCAAGATATCACCCGCCTTCTTCTAACAGAATCTGCCATCCTGCAACTGGACTAATTATAATAGTCTCACAGATACCATACTCCATGTTTCAGGCATGGTGAGGCAGCTTCAACTTAAAGGTTACAGTGACTATGACATCACAGCTCAGTGGCATTAATAACTATAAATATCACAACCCTTCACTTTATTTTCTCTCGTTAACGTTACATCCATTAGCTCCAAGCTGGGCGTTTAGAAACAGATGCGATTGAAATGAAACCTCACACAGCGAAGAATGTCCACCTCTTCACACAGTCATTGACTCATGCGGAGGTAACTTTCTCACACAGTATTAAAAGTATTACGCCACCTGCTCTATTGGGTTTTTTTTAAATTAGGTTTGCATTGATTGGTCACAATGCATTTTCCAGCACTACTCTTTTGACTGATGAGTCTATATGTTGCCAAGGGTGTTTAACAGGTTTAGTTAATGAGGCTCAAGCTGGACCAACAGTATTAATTGGATGAAAGTAAGCAAGCAGTTGTAGTAAGCTAAAAGGCATTGCTGTCTTTCATCAAAACCACAGGCGAGACTCTAGCTTGTACAAAGAGACGGGGGAGTTGCCTTAATAGCAGAGTCAGACTTAATAAAGAAAAATACCCATAATAATGATAAGAGCAATATCCCTGCTTGTGCAGCTGACATATTTATTCAGCCCCCTCTGTCAGACACACAGGGTTTTGTCACAGTCATAATTTACACTAATGTACTGACACCTCAGCCAGTAGCCTAGTCATTTAGAGCTTCTGCCACCTGTCACCTGGGAAATAATGTGCAACGCCAGTACACCTTTCTAAAGCTCTGTCCTCTAAATGTGTTTTCCTCTCCCAGCCTAAGCTTCTCTGGGTTACAGACCGTTTGTGTTTCTCTTGCTCTTCCACCACCACGAGGGTGACTGCTCTAATGCTCATGAAGACCAAAATCCAACAGTAACTGAACACAGTCAGCCATTTCACAACGCTACCGTTGCAGTGCAACACTCATATCCCATTACGGATTATAATCCCTCGGAACATGGGGAACATGGAGTCATGTGGCTACATACATACATGTGTTAGAGTTTAATGGAATTGTTATGTACACAAGAGTAAGACGAGGAGCGAGAGAAGCGACGGCTTAATGAATAATTAAAAATGTGGAAAACAAGCAGGGTTAAAATGGTTGGGAAATATTTTATGTGGCACAAAATGGAAATCTACTGTATTTTGTATAAAGCAGCGCTGCAGGGAATAGACAAGATTAAAAGCAGTGGTGGACGGTAAGTACATTTTCTCAAGAAGCTGCCACGTAACTAATTTTTTACATTAAAAAAACACATAAGACAAGACACATTAGGCTTTTTAATAGCTCCTAATGTGTGAACGATGTTAGAGAGACATTTCTCCTCTAAACTTCTCAGATGCTTTTATTTAAATAACAGTTGGAGGCCTAAAGAGGTCAAAGATTAGTAAAAAAAATTAATCAATACAAATTTGTGCAGCAGGACTGTTTTTTTATTTCCTTTTTGTCCTCATTAGGCATCTCACAACCTGTCAGATTTATCTTGTGAACCAGTGGACTAAACTAAATAAAGTAGTTAAGCTCCACAACAGTAAAATCAGTATTAAAAATGTAATAATGTAACATGTAATAATTTAGCAGACACATTTAACATCAGAGGGCTTTAACATCTGATGTACAGTACATCTGGCTGATATTTCTGTACTTTTACTTAGTTTACTTACTAAGTAGGATTTTGGATCCATTCTTTCACCACTAGTTAAAAGGATATCAAACTGAAATCAATGCATACATCTAAGTACAATAAACCTGGGTACTCACTGGGTTTAAATATTTACAGTTGTCACCATGTTCTTCTGTTGTCCTGGATTTTCTGTCCCTTTAACTGTACCATCTCCAAGACACCCTTTCCCTCACTACTATAACGGATAATCCCTCCCTCTCTTTCTGTCCTCATTATGAGAAAACTGTTATACTTGGCATACTTGGCATCAGAATTAACTGCTCTGCAGCTACTGAGAGCTAGAAGGAAAAGCAGAAGTGGGTCACATGCTGGAGGAGAGGAGGGGATGGAGGGGAAGAACACAAATGCTGGTTGTGTAGGATGAAAGCACAGGTAGGAAGGAGGTAAAGGCTGAGCACTAAACCAGGAGGATGAACGCTTGCCCCAAGCTTTGAAATTTACCGGATGAATACAGTAGAGCAGGAGGAGACTTGATGTGAAGCAAAACTGAAGGAATACAGAAGAAATTGCTGGGAAATGGGATTTTAACTGACAATAACTAACATTTCTTTAGTCAATATCAAAGCATCAAAATATTCTCCAACTACCAAAAGTAAAAAATATACAATATGCAGAATAGCCCATTTCAGAATCATCACTTTACCGTTATCAACATTTATATTACAGTAATGTGCACCACACCATGACCTTTATCTCTATGCACTGTACACAGCCAAATAAAACATTACATACCTGTCGCAGGGTTGTGTTGAATCCTTGCAAAGATTCTCTCCATTTGTTGAATGGCGGACAAAGGTTTCCACCCGTGCTCTATCACTGTCCCTTGTTCTTCGGTCAATACTTTCTTTTCCTCTTTGTAGCTCCTGCCCCAGTATCACAAAATATAACATCGAAAATAAAATTCTCCTGCTTCTTTTTAACTGGCTAATGTACCAGCCTACGCACTGTGAAACTTTGCATGGGAAATTGTAAACTTAGGCTCTTCCACTCTGTCTGCCATAAGTCGTTTCATCGGATTTTGTGGAAAACTGGACCGGTGACAGGCATTTAGAATAACAATCTTTTCGCTGATGGTCTAGTTTGCTTATGTAGGTCAAACAAAAGGCATCAGTATTAAATTGAGACTGTTTCCAATTCAGTTGAAAAACTCCTTGCAGTTACTTTAAGCACAGTACTTCAGTAAAGGCTCGATCATTGCTACTTAATAGTTTCATAAATTAATGCCAGGGTACAATTTAAGCAGGATTTTCACAACTTTCAACTAGACTATTTAGAGAGTATACAGCGTCTGAAGAATCTGATTCTGTATTAGAGCTAAAGTGATTAGTCGATTAATCAATATACAGAAAATTAGCAACCAGCAACTGTTTGATAACCAATTATTGTTTCAGTTGTTTTTCAAGCACAAATGTGTTTTTTTATATAAATATTATTGCATTTTCACTATTTTTTACATTAATCAGCAGATTAATTGACAATATCTACAGTATATCAATTATAATCATTAATGAAGCCCTATCTAAATACAATGACACCGGAGTAAATTGATTGATTGTGAGGGGCACAATGAAATAATAGATTGTCATTAGATGTGGACTTCTAGGAATGACATAACATGACTAAAATGATCACATGAATGAATCAACTCTGCTGGCCATCCCATCACTTGTATTTACGTTAAACCAGCTGAAGTGTTTATAATTATAATTTTTGTATGTTTCCCTTTGGTAATACCTTTGCATTTCAAGTTTTTTTATATACACAGTACACATAAAATTGGCAAAATACTATAATGTAAACAATCACATGTTGTGGTCTTGAAGGAAAATGTTAAAAAAAAAGTCAAAGAGAGGAAATACAAAAAAAGAATTAAGAGTCTTTAATGATATACGCTACATTTGTACATTTCTACAGCAGACTTTCAGTAAGACTAACTGCCAATTAGAAAAAAAGAAAATATTAATATTCAGTTTAGTATTTTGTCCCATTAAATAATAATTAAAACATTTAATAGTTCATAGAACAATGAATGTGAAATATAAATTACATTAAAGCACCATTTCAAGGATGAGGATATTAAAATAAATAATTGGCCTTTCCATAACAATAATGTAAGGCTGTGCAGTCACACTGAACACTCCTGCCCAATGATGTCAAATGGGTTCAACGTACAGTACATCACGACATGAGGGGAATGCTCGCGTGACTTTCACACTCAACAGCAAATTACTCTATTGCTGTTCTCTATGCTTACACAATAAAACCTTTGAACATGTAGCTCTGTCAGAAACAACAACAGACAAGACAGTCACTATTGTAGGCAATGAACTTATCCTTCTGTTCTTTCTGTATAATAATTAACGATTTTGGGGAAAAAATGTCATAAGTGAGTTACACTATGAGAAGATTGTCACTTTCCTTAATGTAACAACGTAATATTGAAATGTTTCTCTTTTGCCAATTGTGATAACTCCGCTTACAAATACCCCATGTTGTACTATCCCTCAATCGATTAAGCACAACTGGCCTTAAAAAAACAAAAATAACAAAAAAACAAAAAGATATTGCAGTTTCTCTCACTCGCTCAGTCACATAGGTACTCAAAACAACAGCTATGAGAAGCTGCAGTTCATGTCACGCATATTTTCACCCAGTAGAGCGGTCCTTGAAAATATATATATGCGAGTTTCAGTTCGGGAAAACATTTTACTGTATACTGTTCATGCAAAAACCTTTCATTTATGCACTAATGACTAATGAGCTTACCAAAAATCTGGCAGAGCAACAGTCACACTATCAGGTACCACGCCACACCTTACTTTGGTCCCTCAAGACCTTCCCACCAACTGCATGCACACACACTCACACACACACACACCCCCACACACACACACACACCTGGAGGTACACACACAAAGTGAGAAAAAAGCTTACTGTGAGTATAAAAAACAAGGGTGAACCGTTTCAACAGGTGCTTCAAAAAGTCACAAGAACATATCAAAGACTGAGGCACAAAGCTGCCTTTTTAAAACCAATCGATACAAGTACCAGCAACCAATGATGGTGCTCCTGTCTCTACTGCCATACACGGTATAGAAAACTTCATACAGCTATGTTACAGTACAGTAAGAGGGCTTTCAAAGTTTACAGGGTTCAAACTCCTAGTCACAAATATATTAATGCTTTCTTTTCTTTATGCATTTTAAATTTGGTATTCTATGCAAATTGTAGTGGATATTTCATTTCTTAAAAATCATACAGTAGTTAAAACACGCTGATACTGCCTGCTTTACATAAAACCCTGTACATGCCATTCATACATTAACAGTCCATCAAAATCCTGACTGAAATATGTCAATCAGTCAGCGCGCTTTAATAACTGGTAGACTATGAATTACAGTGTTTACAAAAACATCTTTATAATCCTGAATAATTCCCCTTGAGGAAAACAACATCCAAATATATTCAGGGATCCAGTGACTCCAGATACAAATCAATCCGAGTACTGGAGATCTAAGTCTACTGTGCCGTCTGTCACCACTAACCTCACTCTCTTGGGTTTTGTGGCACCCATGGAGTGAGACGTTGGAACAGGTCCATAGTGTGCTGCGCCTTGGTGTTCCCCTGGCTGGCACTGTTGCTGCATGTCCTTCCTGCAGTGTTCATCCTGTCCTTTGAGCCCTGAAAATCCACCCAAAGAAAAAGACGGTGGGTTAGACAGCTGGGGTCCACAGGGCTCAAGAACCAGCCGCCCTTGGGTGCCTGAAGGTTCCATCAGGCAATGGTAGGTGTAGTTTGTCGAGCCTAATCCTGGGTAACCATCAGCTCCATCCCTGAGACCCAGGGTCAGTGAGTGATCTCCACTGAAGTTTAGTACGTAAGGGGGACCTTGGTAGCCATAAGGGAAAGAGGCTGAGGTTGATGACTGGCTCTTGTTTGCTGGTGCTGGTGTACCAGGAGGTGTACTGTGGACCACTTGGGGGCTGTTGTGATGAGACATAGGAGAAAGAGACGAGCCAAAGCTAAAATCAAAAGAGTCTTGCTGAGTGTAACATGGCTGGTGTTTGTCTGAGGTCGACATAGTGGATTTTTCCTGTTTTAAACTCTTGTCTTGTGGTGATGAATAACCGTCAGACATTTTGCTAGGAAAGAAAGGTCTTGGCAGCGCTGAGAGGGTTTTGTATGTCATGTTGGTTTCAACAATTTCATGTTTGTCGGATGAAATCTTACTTTTACTACAAGACTGAGGGAAAGATTGGTTGGGTTTGTTGAAATGAAGGTTGGACCTGCTGGGGTTGCTGGAAGAACCAAGATGGCCAACATCCTTTCCAAACCCTTGAAAAGAAATGTTGCCTTTATGATGACTGTCTGTATTAACACCTAGTTTCTGACTCTGCTGGGTCCTCTCAATAGCACCTGATTTATGAAGTGTATGAAGTGTTCTGGATGCGACGGTCGGGCTGCCTGCAGCCATGGTGTCTTTACAGGGTGCACTATACAAGTTCTGACTCTGGTTCCCCCCCTGAAACTTAAGCACTCTGTGAATAACTGTAGAGGTTTTCTCGTGGAATTTGAATGGATTGTCAGGAGGATTGGGATTTTTCACAGTGAAGAGTTGAGGAGAGAGGAATTTGTTAGACATCTGAGATGCCGGGATGGATTTAGTCAAGCTACTCGGGGACACTCCTCTGACTGTGTTTGGCTGACTATTTGAAAAACACTGGGATTTACTAGGAGTGGTCATTCGATGGAAGGGGCCCTGGGTTTTAAGGTTGGACTGGGCTTTTGAATGACTAGCGCTCGCCTTCATGTTGCTGGAGGGTTGTGTTAAAGTAACAGGAACTTGAGATGTAACAGAAGATGATGTTGTGCCAAATAACCTAGGCTTGCTGACTACAGACAGGGGCTGAGTTTTGAAGTCTTCTTTGGACAGCCTCATTCCTGGATTTCTACTTATTATTCTATCTTTAGCACTCAAGTCAGAGCTGCAGAGAGCTGAAAAACTGAAACTGGGATTGGGGAGGTTTCTGTCTTTGGAGGTATCCTTCATTTCACATTCCAGAGGAACAGAGTCACTTTTGGAAGAAATTAGACCTGGAAAAAACTGCAGGTCCTCACTGTTAAAGTTATTTCCTGGACTGGGAGGGCCAAGGTACGGCGTTTCAGTGGTCCATGTATCAGACGGGCTGTGAGAGAGGGGACTGCTGAAAGGATCTGTGGGTGGATCCAGTGAACACAGATCTGATGGGGAAGATGGAAGTATGTTCTGTGGCTGATAATACCCCTCAAAGTTTAGACACTGAAAGTCCAGAATATCATCACAGCAGTTTGTGAAGCTGGGCTCCCCAGAAAGCATGTTATCTGCAGTTGTGAATAGAGGAGACTGGGACGGGGGCTGGGCGACAGCAGTAGAAGTACTGGAACAGGCTGTTGGCTTCTCCAAAGTCTGAGATGAACACAAGCCCTCGGAGAGCCTAGAGAGACTGTTGTCAATTTGTTGGAGTGTGTGACTAAGACAAGTTGTGGGCGTTTCTACAGGCCCACATTTGCGTGTTCTCTCCATTTTGTGCCTCTGTTTCCTTCCTCCGCTGTTCATCTCTGGCCTTTCAATGACTGTATCTGCAGCCGAGGATATAACTTCCGCTTTATTGTCATTAAGAGGGGAAGACAGAGACAGCGGCGACAGAGACAAGGAAAATGGAGGTGGTTCTATTTTCAGAAGGGCTGAGTTGCGGTTCAGTTCCTGCGAAGATGGGCACTCTTCTTTGAGCTTGTTAAAATCAACACATTCTTTCTTTTCTTTCCCTAAAATGTGACCCTTTATCTCATTCTTAATATTGGGTTCTACTTTAAGTTCAGTTTCAAAAAGCCCTTCTTTGCTGTCCACCTCCCAGATATCCTCTTTCTTTCTGCGTAGTTTGATGACTGGTAATGGAAAACCATTTGAATCCAATTCAGGCTGCACTTGTGACCCAGTTTCAAACAAGCAGCAATTCTTCACAAAACGATCTTCAATTTTGGTTTCTTGCCCTACTGCTGGCAACATGTCAAGCTCACTTTTACAAATCTCAATTTTTTCTGGTAGTACCTTCTCTCCATCTGTAAGTTCTTTATCAAGCTTCACTTTAAAGTCTACTTTGTCATTGGGTGTTTCACTGGGTTTACATGCATTTCCATCATTGTTGAGGTCTTTGTCAGATTTTTCATCTGCGTGATTTGTGAACTGTCTTTCACTCAGCCTCTCACCTCTTCTTTTTAAACGATGCAATCTGCTTTTTGACTTCTTACTAGCATGCACATGCGCCTGAGCTGCCTCCATCTCCATGTTTAAAACTGACACGGAATCCATGATGGCTTTAAATGGATCGCATGTCACCAACTCGTCTCCCTTTTCTGTTTTTAATGCCTTATTTTCAAATCCTGCTCGTTGCATTTCCCATACTCTCCCTCTCCTCCTTTTAAAACGAATCTTAAAATCAAGGTCCGGCTTTGTCTCATCCAAATCACTTTGCTGGATTAATGTTTCCACCTCATCTTCCTTTTCAGATTTATTTGGAGTGTGATTTTTACCACACTGCTCTTGAATTTTAGCAGGATCCACAGTTTGTTTGTCCTCTGCAAGACTCTCTAGTGTCTGAGCCTTATCAATGTCATCCTCATCTTGCGTCTCTAATTTACACTTTCGAGCTTTCCTAAATAAATGGCTTCGCTGAACTTCATTAGCTTGGGAGCGAAGCACTCTGTTAAAAGAGTTCTGTTTTGTGATTCGTTTGGAGGTTAACCTCTGGACTTCTGTTCTCTTTAATCTGCCTTTACCATCGTTTTTCCGTTTGCTACTCTCCCCTGAACAAGTGGTAAGGCCCTGCCTTAGCTCGGCGGACGAATTTAACGAAGTGGCTTCTTTGGAAGCTTGATCTGAAGCAAAATTCAAACCTTGTTCAGAGTCTATTTCCACGGAACTGCGAAATGTACGTTTTTTTAGAGGTATGTTGGACTGTATGTGTGCCGGTGGATTGGTGTCTGGATGCAAATTAGTCGTGGCTTTTGCTGAAGTTAGTGACTCATGAGGTAGTGGGTTGAGGCAGGTGGCCGGTGGGTCATTTTGCCTCTGTGACGACTGAAGCTGCAAACTTTCCTCATTTCTCACTGCAGCTGGAACTTCTTTGCTGAAGCGTCCCTTGGTGGTTTGTTTACTTTCTGCTTTTGTTTTCGCTGTTCTAGGCATTGACTTTCGTCGTCTAATAATCCTCCTCTGCACTGAACAACGGTACATGCCTCCATTAATTTCAGTCTGTTCTCCTTCTTCCGCCTCAGCACTTTGCGTTTCTTTAGAGGCCGAGGTAGAAAACCTTGTTTCTACAATATCTCCGTCTAATCTCTTATCTATTAAAGGTTTATCTTTTTTTAAAATATCAGATAGCAGAACCTTTGCCTGCTTTATGACAATATCTTCTTCATGCCTACTTACTGGCTGTTTACTCACACTCCTAGACATTTGTTCTGGCAGTTTCACAACTTCCTCCTCCACACATGCATCCTTGACTTTATTTCTAACACACTGCATGTCATTTTGTCCACTATGTTTGTCGCTGGGCACTATTTTATATTCAGACTCTTTCACTTCTTCCAGGGCCTTGTTACTTATGCATTCCGTAACTGTAGATGCAGCACTTCTATTTTCATTCTGCTCTTCAATTTTGCTTTTTACAATGTCCTGCTGCTCCCTAAGTATATTATCTTTTTCTTCTGAAACTGTTTGTATTTCAATGACCTTGTCATTCCCCCTTTTCTCACATTGTGATAAATCACTTACAGATTCACTTGCTTGTCGCTTCCTTAAATTTACTTTATCAATGGCCTTGAAAAACATTTCTCTCACCCCTCTGTTACCTTCAACTGTGCAGATCTCTGAACTTCCTCTCTGCCTCTGCTGAGATCTGGACACCCTTTTTTCTGACTGTACTGTCAGAGGCGCTGGTCTGGGACACTGGGTCTGCCTGCTCCTTCCTCTCACCTCCACTCTTCCTTTCTTGTCTTCACTGGTCTTTTCTGCTTCTATACTTTGTGATACTGATAACCTTGTTAGGTTAACTGTAAGGTATTGCGTCAGTGATTTTAGCGGATTGTCCCCGGCTTTCTTCAATCTATCTGTGACACTCTGACAAACTTCAGGTATAAACAGTGATGAACCTCTGATAGTCCTGTGCTTCGTTTGCTCAGTGGCTGGATTTTCTGCTGTGTCCACAGTGCAGGATTCAATGCTGCTGCACTTGCTGCTTTGGCTCTCTCCGATAGTCTTTTCAGTTTTGTTTTGTTTTATTGCACTGCAGGTATTGTCAACTTCGACAGGGTGACAAACTGTTGTAGTGTTGGCTGTGTTACTGGACACCGTTTGTTGTTTGGACATGGGATGAACCAAGCTTCTTGTTCTCGAAGAGGTCCTCGTAGGAACTGCATGCTTATCCACCACTTTGACAGACTTCCCATTAAGGCCTGCGTTAATTACTGCAGGTCTACTTTTCTGATGAACTGACATGGAGGAATTTAGAGTGAAAGGTTTCAAGTTTACTTCAGTGGTGTTATTTTCTTCACCAGTCAAAAGTTCACTCAACTTGTTATCTTCTGGCTTCACTTCCTCCAGTTGTTGAAGCAAGGCTCTTTCTTTGCTTTTTGGATCCTTGCAGTTGACTAAGAAATCCACTGTGTGGCGCCGTACTCTGATTCTAAGGTCCCTCAGTGTAACCTCAGACAAAAGTGGAACTGTCCAACAGGGTTTGACTGTGGAGGACTTCAATGGGTGCTTTCCTGATCGTCTATGCTTCTCTCGTCTCCACTTCTTTGTCTGACTAAATTTTCTGTTCTTCAAGGCATTTCTCCTCATCTGCTGGGTAAACGAATTCCTTGAGGGGATTGCTATGAATGAAGGACAACAAAGAAGCAGTTAAACTTGAAGCTGCTGCATACAAAGCCATCTTATGCTAATATGCATGTTTAATCAGCATAAGAAGGGCACAAAAACATGCTTATTTAAACAATGAAAACACTGAAATTCTGTTGTTTAAAATTAGCAAAAAATGGTAACTCTTATAAACAAATTGTATATCCATTTAAACTAAATATCTAGCCATAGATATTATCTGAGTGACTATTGAGCAATTTAGTTTTACAACAGATGCGAGGATAGTCTGTAGTGCTAGCAAAACATGTCATGCTTGTAATGGTGGGACAAAAGTAACCTATATCTACTTATTATTTGGGTTAAAATGAGTAAAATCCATTGTTAATGTTTATGATATGCCCCGTTTGTTTCCTAAGAAGATGTCAAAATACTTTATTTCCTCCATGGTAAATCCTTTTTTTGATTTGTTTTGTTATTGTTTCACAGTCATACAACATGCTACTTAAAGTACTGATGCTTTGTATTGTCATAACAGCGCTAATAATAACAAGGAAAACACAAGTGCTTCAATATTGTTTAGCAATTATGTACCAATTAAGAAAGTTATTTAAGTAAATGTTTGCATGCTATATTTAATCCATACGACATGAAGAAGCAACACAATCTACTTCGTAAAATCAGGCCCAATGAATCACATTTGTAACATTTAACATACGTGGGTCTGGATGCCTGCATTCACTGTGTTCATTGTTTCAGACCTAACCGTAAAAGACACATCTGGTGGATTTCAAAAGCAGTTAAAATGTCACCTTGATGAGTTTCAACCAGAATTTCATCTTGTTTGATGCATAAAAAACCCTGTGCTTTTTTGCAATGATACGGTCATCACAGCATTGCAATTTTAAAATGTGAAAATAAGCCGCCCCTCAACTGTTTGCACGCTGTCTCCACAGTAAGTCAGTCAGTTGACATTTTTTGGAAAAAATACAACGTACAAAAACATTTGTTTTTGTTCCTAAATTATGGTTAATATTCTTAGATCTGCAAACATGTTTCATTTAGCAATTCTGAGATCATCAAGCTCTCATAATGTTAAAGAAATCTGTATGAGGTAATACAGCAGGTACGTGCTGAAATCTGACTTTCACAAAAAGGTATATTGTACAGCAAATGTTCCTATTAGTTGGTTTTGAGAGACTTCTGTGGTGATGAGAGAGCTTTCAGGGAGCCAGCAATGGAGATCTTCTATTTGAATTAGCTTACCATATTTATTTTGTTACTTTCATTTTAACAGTACTTAGAAATGCAGCGCTAGTAATTACTTTCTATGATTATCAATTACTGATTTGAGATAGATCACTTTAGAGAAAATCCTAAAGCTGTTACCTTTAATGATACCTGAGTGTATTCCTGGTATTATCGGCCTTGTGGGACAGTGTCCTTTCTCTCTGTGCTGACGAAGATATCTCTCTCTCAGGCGGTACTTTTGGCCCACAGGATCCTTTGTTTCTTCACATTCAGGCTGCTTCCCTCTGTGCTTGAAGTGACCCTCTCCGTTTCTAGGGAACAGTTAAAATTGCAGAATGAAACTGAATTTAAAAAGTCAACAAGTCTTTTGACATCTGAAAAACAAACTCTTCAGGTTTGAGAAGAAACCACACTATAATGAAGACAATGTCTGATCAGAAGAAAGACACACCTCTCACAGGTGCAGCATTCACACATTTCATTGCCTTCCCCAAAAAAGCTGGCACCATAGTAACATGTGATCTCCTCCCCAGGTGAGATGGGTCGAATCACTTCAACACATGCGATATTCTTTTCACCAGGGACGAACTGGGCGGGTGAAAAGGGAAAGAAAAAAAACAGCAAGAGACAAAGACAAAAGGTTGGTTGGCCCATGGGATACATTTACACAGAGCAGTTAGGAAACAGACCAGGAGTGTAATTCTGCACCTAAAATACACTTTCAATATGCAAAATTTGACAATAATAATGTTACTAGATTATGCAAATAAGCTGTAAACATTTGTCAGAGAAATACATCAATTATTTAAATTTGTCAAATCACTTCAGTGCGTGTGGTAAATAAATATTGCTGATTACCTTGCAGTTCGGTTTGCAGTCTTCAACCCAGAAGGACAAACAAAGACACAAACACAGAGATGAAAGATTTCAAGTTATAAATTCAATCACGAATAAAAGACTCATCATTTTGTTGATCAACTGATTTGTACAGAAATCACTTTGCAAAGGCTCAAAGGCTAAGCTGATTAACCCTCAAAAATGATTAAAAGATCTTGTCACAAACGTCCTCCTGGTGGACGGAAGAATTAACCAAAATATCACTGGACCTTTTGTATGCATTACAACTCTGTTCACACCGTTGGCTGACACCTGGTCTGTGATACATTGGAGATGTTACTTTTGGATTTTAATGCACAAATTAAATGCTTTGTAATTATCCAGAAATCCTGTATAGAAAATAAATGATGCATCGATAATCGTTTTATAAATCGCATTACAGCCCTCTGAATAGCAATCGAATCGTGAGGTGCCAAGAGATTCCCACCTCTAGTACTTACATAACGCAAAAGTTAATTATAACGATATAAACTGCATACATATTTGGCTATATGGCTGAAAAATCTGCATTTTGTGTCCCTCAAATAATCGCAATTGAAACTATAGGCCTCTTTCAGTATGTACTGTCAGTAATCAAACATTATTAGACAACAAATGACTAAGACTTAATTGTTGTGTAGTGTGACCACATGTGATAAAAGACCTGTCAATCAGTTTGAGAGTGATAGCATCTTATAATCTTGTGTTTTGAATGTTGGTATTTGGATTGCCTTTTGTTGACATTTGGATCACAGACATAAGGGGTGGAAGTAACAAAAAAAAAGTATAATTGATCAAAAACAGGAGGTGAAGAAAATGCATGTGAATTGAAAACGATTGGGGTAAAAATGAATGAAAAATTGTATTATAAATTATCAAGTGATTCGATTAATTTAAAGCCAATTTGATTAAGTTAGTTGTGATATGAAGAAAACAGAGTAATGTATCATCACAAGAAAAATTGCCACTCGTCAGTTAAGGAAAGTGGCCTAATTTCTTTGTTACTACAACAATAATTGAAAAAATGCAAGTAATGAAAATTCTTATGAATTAACAATGGAAGGTATATAATGTATGTGAATTGAAAAACAGTGATAAATTTTATTTAAATCATTTTATTTGAAACAATGATGCTCTGATAATCAACTGGGTTGTGATAATGTCTATTGTCTACTTTTCATCAATCACAAAAGAGAAACTGTTGTTTCCCCGGTAAACACACTGACCTCTTCGGCTGTTGCAGTGCCTCCTGCTCAGCCTGATTCTGCTCCTTTTGGGAGCAGATCTTCGCTGCAGAGTGGACAAGCCAGGTGGATACATGGCGGGCTGCTGTCAGGCTGCCCCTCCATGCACACTGAGCACTACCTCGTTCTCCGGCGGACTGGACCTGCTGGCGGCGGCGCTGGTACAATCCCCTGTATCAGCACTGCCACTGGCTGTTTGTTCTACAAACCAACCCTCAAGACAAGGAATGATAACCAGGGCTACACATAATACATCCTCTATTGCTTGACTCAAACTGTTAATAGTCCTTCAGAATTAACATTTCCCGGTACTCAAATATGAAAAACAGTAAATTTATTAAAGTCAGTGCCCCATGTTGCTATTTTTTAAGCTACTGTTGCTGTCATGTCCCAAATGACATTTATCGTTTATAGCAAGCTATTTTTTGTTACTTCCATCATGGGTCAATCGTTTCCAACCCACTTCAGGTGAAAGCACGCCCACTTCCATATGATGAAAGCTTTAACAGCTGCATGACAGGACATGACAGCTACAGTAGATTAGAAAATTGCAACATGGGGCACTGAATTTCATAAATTCACTGAATGTTGAGAAATGGGAAATGTTAATTCTGAAGGACTATTAACAGTTTGAGTCAAACGCAGAGGCTGTATTATGTGTAGCCCTTTTATTCCCCCCTTGCATTTACAGCTAGCAGCGGTGCTGAAACAGCGGATTGTACCAGCGCCGCCGCTAGCAGGTACTGGTCCGGACCCGGAGCTGGGTCCAGGTCCAGTCTACCAGAGAATGGGGCAAAGAAGTGCTAGGTGTGCGTGGAGGGGCAACCCAACAGCAGCCCACCATGTGGACACCTGGTGGTGGAATGGCTCCCCGAAAGGAGCAACAGCAGGCTGGGCAGGAGGGACTGCGACAGCCACAGGAAAACAACAGCTCACAATCTTTTGTGAATGATAAATGGTAGACAATAGACAGTAACACAGCCCAATTGATTATCAGAGCAACACTGTTTCAAATAAAATACCCATCAAGTTTATCAAATCAATTCACAATTTATTGCTCTATTTTTCATGTTACATACATTTCATCTGTTCCATTATTAATTTGTAAGCATTTTCATCATTCCACTTTTTTTTTTTTAATCATTTGTTACTTGCACCATTGAGGCCACTTTCAACACAATTTTGTGTTGTGAATGATGAAACATGGCTTTGTTCATATCAACTATTTTCAGTCAAAACAGCTTTAAATTAATCAAATCACTGGATAATTCATCACTCCTTTTTCATTTCACATCATTTGTTGCCTCTCTATTTTTTTAATTCACATGCATTTTCATCACCTCTCTCTTTATCAGTTTATTTGTGTTATGTCCAGCCCTCATATACAGACGCATTTAATTTTTTTTTTTTTTTTTTTTTTAAGGGGGAAAATCTTCTGCTGATGAATCTCACATGTGAGCTCTCTTATCAGCTCTGTGTGCATGTACTGGGAAAGAATGAGTCATGAATGCAAACAAACTCACCATGGTTAATGAAAGCTGCAGGCCCGAGCCAGAGCTGAGCGCAGCGTTTGCGTGTGGAATACATCACACTAAAGTCATTGACTCCAGCCCTCAACACAGCGCTGTCAGCAAGGCTCAGTTCTGCTATGCAGCCCAGTAGGACCTCCACCCGCTCTCCTGCAAACCTATGAGGTAACAATTCAAGTATCACATAAAAAATCCCCAAAATAAGACAGCAGTGTCCAGGACATGCAGAAGCTACATGCTACCTTTACAAATGCAAAACAATATTACGAGTGTGATTAATTTACCAGTGCCTTGTTGAGGTTATCTTTGCTCCGTTGGTCTCTGAGGAGTATCTGTCACAGGACTCTATCTTGACACCGCTATCTAACAGGAAGGCACTGAGGTACCGATACACCTGCAGACATCATAGATTGATTTATGTATTTTGTCTAAGTAAGTTGTAATTCGTTTGTGACATTATGTTATATTTATACTGATTAATAAAATTAAACATCAGCCTACATGTTGTCTCAGCAGCTCCTGTCGATGGCTCCCCAAAGCATTAAAGTAGTCACCAGCCAGATCACCCACTGTCAGCGCCTCAAAGGTAGCGTTGAAGTCGTGTGTACGCTGAAAGCGCAACAGGGTCTCTTTGAGGTTGCCCCACCGCCGGATCTCTGGCGGCGGACTAAAGAAAAAAGGAAAAAAAAGCAGATAATGGCAAACAGGAAGAGAAAAAAAACAGTCAAAGGACAAAGTCTAAGTTTTTGTAAGGCGTGTCAGTGTAAAATGCTAATCTTGAATATTACATAGATAATGTTGGATATCAGAAGAATGCGTCACCATATATTCTTTAAATGATCAAAATATTAGTGCTCATAATTGTTGCATAACACAAAAAAATAAATATAAATTCTCAAGGATTTGCATTTTAGTAAGATTTTTAACATTTCTATTGCTTGATGTGCTCGGAGAATATAAGATGAAAAAAAAAAACACCAAAATCAAACACCAGTTAAACAATAGATTAGGTCTAAATGATACATGCAAATGTTGTAAAAAATTTAAATAATGATCACTAATTATGTATGCAACTTTCCCAGTAAAATAGTTAAACTTTCACACTGTCTTTAATAAATTACTTCAAGTAAACAAAACATTTAATAAAATGACTAAAAATCTGTTATTATTAAATTTGTATCATCAAATAGTAGCTTTTTCCCTTCACAGTAAATCAAACTAAATCACACTTGCATGTGACCTGCAGCCACAATGCACTGGAAGCAGAAAGCATTAATCACAGCATGATAAAAACAAACCTATTTGTTTGGTCACATGAGCGTCTTCCCTAAAGTCACAATTTCAAAAGCTTTTATTCCAGTTGTTGTGGAGAGCTAGGCAATAGTTTCCAACTAGGGCTGGGCGATATGGCCAAAAATGTTATCATGATAAAAACATTTCCTATCACTCGATATCGATAATTATGACGATATATGACAAGTCATTATTTCTTTCAAGTTTAAAGGCTGATTTTTGCTTCCGAGTGTAAATTGAAGAAACCAGATGGTTAATTATGTGATTAAACATTTCTTTTTGGTCAGAATGTGACAAACACTTGATGCCAAACAGTAGATCACATAACAAATCTGACATAGAACATTCAAAACCATTATAATAAAATCTTTTTCAACATTTGATTAGTAAATCTTTTTTCAGTCCCTTTTCCTCAACAAAATAAATATTTTAATAGAAAAATTAAGTAATTGTAAGTATTGTCAAATATTAATTGACAAATATTTCCTCAATAACAATATAATTAATGTTCAATATATTAACTTGCGTGTCTATATCTATATATACACCTTAAGGACAGGTGTGGGTGTGGTGACATGCTTCTACATGTCCCAGTAAACATAGAAATAGAACAGAAAAAGCAGGCATAATACTGTACTAACGTGGAAACAATAAATAATCAATCAACAACTGTTTAAATACCGTTCAAGTGTTAATTAGAGTCTAGGATTATGATAGTTTGAACTGACAGTCATTGAGTGACATATTACCTTATGTTCATTTTGTGGGTGCTGAAGCCCAACAGAGGGTCCAGCACCAAACCGGTGGCCAGGTCATCGGTCTCACACAGTTCCTTCACACTCATTCTAGTGCATCCGTCCATTGCCTCCCACTATCAGCATGCTGCAATCACAGGGTCAAAGTAACGCTAGTATAACAACATCATCATCCATCTATGAGTTGTGCATATAAACAGATCCAGCGTGCAAACGACATTTTCACATTATTAGCTACTTGTTCACTTGCTAAAGTTGGCTCAAACACGGTTTTTATCTGAATTATATATCATATCCTTACATTAAATCAGTAAATGATAACGTTAACTGTAAGTAAGGAATGTAACGGAGTTCGCATTAGCTGCCATAGCACATTAGCGTAGCTTGCTGGGAACAAATGCTAGATTATCAGCTGAAGAGTGAACGGGCTAACAGTATGATAGCACTAGCGGTATGCAGCTAACGTAACAAGACTCAGATCGTTGAGGAAATCCAGGCAACGTTACTGGGAGCCGACTTGTGAATCAATATGCTCTCACGGTGATGCATATTGTTAATGTGGTTTTCAACAACATACCTGGGAGTGGGTTGTAGTCAACGAATGTATCGTCAGATAGACAATTTATCGCAAGCTACTTGCTTGCTCCGGCTCTCGTTCGCCTGCCAGGGAAAGTTAGCCTAGCAGCATAACCAGCTAGTTTTCCGCCGTCTTGCTGGCTAGTCCGGTCAGCCGCGTAGGAAAATGGAGTCCCCTCGTCACTTCTGGAATTTGCTGGTTTGTTGACGAATGCAAATCCCAGACTGAAATACACAATGCAAAAATGCGCCACACACGACGATAAATTAGCTGAAAATGTATATGGTGTGTAGCTAGCTAGCTAGGTAGCTTTGCACAACGCTCGTCTATTAGCAAAAGTTGATGGGCAACGTCCAGTGCAACCGAACTACTGTTGGCCACGCCCACACGCTGTGCTATTCGCTGAGGTCAAGGTCAATTTTACTAATCAAACGAGATGCCGCGTTTTAAGCTCTCTGATTGGTCAGAGTTTAAATGGGCGGGGTCATCTTTTGAATTTACTATGTTGATGCTGGAAAGCATCTCACAAAATCACTCACACGAACAAATTGCTAGTACACATTGGAGATGTCGCCAGGAGCAGCAGATAAGCTTTCCTGCTACTGCATGATAGAAAAGCTACGCATAGTACTGTCCTATAAAGATGTCTATACCAGGTACTAGGTACAAGGTTGTTTATTTGTCATTATACAGCACAAGGTTTTATAACGAGACGAAGTTTGTAAACATCTAGCAATTAGTGGGTAGATCTGGATTAGTGTTTCAGAGGGGAAGTACAATTGACAATTTTGTACAATGTACAGACTTTGATGCAGGGTTAACCAACGAGCTTTTAAAATAAGCCAGTGTAATGAAGAATGCAGTAGGCTGTTTAGTTTAGTTTTTGTAATAAAAATGTGAATAACACTCATAAATGGAGGGGTTTGTTTCAGAGATAGAAAGTCTAATTTGTATGTGTTTCTCAAGTTATCATAGCTCAAAATACAAGCCTGTTGTAGCCTACTGGCAGATACATGCAAACCTTTAATAAAAACATAAGAAGAGATTCAAAATAAGAGACTGAGTTGTTGTTTACATTTTTTGCTTTCCACATTTTGTTTACAAAATGGGATATTGCCAACAGCTGATATTTTCACGGTTGAAATATCTTGGAAATCAAGACGCCCAACTGCAAAAGAATCTACAGCAGTGCTACTGCATATTTTAAAGGGCGTCACGGCATATATGCTCTAATAGACAACAAGGACTTGAAGAGTTGCTCTGTCAAAGGCTCAGCTGAGCTAATTCATGTGGCTGCAAGAATTTATCCATCACAGATTATGGTTTCAGTTTTACACAATAGCCCACAATGAGTCTGTCCTCCCCCGCCTTAGCGCAGGAGGTTGCACCCTGGCGAACATTGTTCAGGATCTCCGGACAATCACAAAATTAATTGTCTATTATAGAGTTACGTATTTTTAACTGAGCTACAGGCCTATAGCCCACCACCCAAGCTAATGTCTGCTTATTTTATTTTATTTTTGTTCGTTTTAAAACACTGCATTAACACTGAATACTCATTCACAAGTCTGATTCATAAATCTGCTGACAGGACAGGCAGTGACTTCGCTGTAAAGGACTTGCTGCACCGTCATAAATCTACAGGACCAGCACAGGCAAGACTCCTGATGTGAATGCTGCAGGTACGGCAAGTTACCTTTCACCAGGTGTTACATAAGAAAATAGTGCTCCCAAATGTTTTCATTGCATTTGTTGCTACTAGTGATTTCCTTAGCTTTCTTTCAGTAAGCTATACATAGGCCTATAGCCTAACTCATATGTCTCTGTTTTCTATTTTAACTACACTTGTTTATACTTACAGTAGGTTATAAATAGGCTACACTGTATTGTATAGCATGTTTAGCAACATCTCTTTCATCCTATTTCTATTGTAATTTTCAAACTCTAAACGTATTCGTTATTTTGTTACAGTAACCCATTGAGTAGATTCACAATTTTGTTTTTAGAAGGCCTGCATGAATGAAATAGATTTTTTGTGTTTCTGGTGGGCTCTGTCTGAAGCAGTAGACTGTGGTTCAATTTAGAGGAACTCTTTTACATATTTTAAGGCCCATTTTTTAAAACAGAAGCGACTGGCAGCATGGATGGAGAAAGATTGTTGTCTGTTTTTCTTTTTATGATAAACCACGCTGGATGTGGTCTTTGGCTCTTTGATTTGGTAAAGTGTCTGTGTGGTATCTGAGGCAGGTGACATTTAATAAATAAGAAAACACACAGGGATAAAGACCCATCCATGCTCTCACTCATGCCGAAAGAAATACAGACACAAATATACAAATTCTATGTTTTATTTCTACCTTGTAACAGAGACAATTTGTGATTGATTTGAAAACAAATAAATATACTGTTCATTTCTGTTGTTTCTGTTTCTTAATTGTAACAATCTAATAATTTCATATCTAACCAGCGACAGTGCATGGTGCAAAACATCCCTGATTGATTAAAAAATCCTACACCAATAAGCTTGCAGTATAGTGTTAAATTTGTCAGTAAAAACAATATGAACATAAAAGCCATTAAAGACCAGATCCTAAGAGGTAATAACAGTTAATATAGAGAAACAATAAAAAAAATGTTATAAGCAGAGGTTTGTACAGCTGTGAAAATGGTAATGAAAGTGGCCTCTATTGGACCATTTATTCAGAAGACAGAAATCTACAAGTTCCATCATTTTTTCAGCACTTTCTTATTTCTTACATGAGCCACTTAATTGTTTAGCATTGTTAAAGACACAATTTCTCTCCATTGGAGAAGGTCCCCAACACAGCATAGCTCTACCGCTTTGTATTAACTTTTTATTATCCTATCAGGCTTTAATATATGTTCCCCCATGAACTCACCAGCATGCCAAAGTCAGGCTCGACTCATTTCAATTTAACCACCTTAAAACGTGAAGAGAAACTGCTAGTCATCTGACTTGTGAATATCCCGTGACAATGGCGTTTATTGATGTATTTTTCTACATATATGAATATAAATATGATTTCCTCATACCATTTATTTTGATTTAAATTTCACTTCCTGAGTTCATCTAACTGGACATGAACACACAATGAGGTCCAATATGATTTTCTTTTTGCCCTCTCTGACACAATATCTGCTGCAGATGAGTTGCACTGAGCAAATTGTTAGAAAGCAAGCAGGATTCTGAATAAAGCTTACTTACATTGCTTTGATTTCTTAAAAAACATTTATTTTCTGAGGTACAGAGTTGAAAACCTCTTGCTGAGAAAGTGGAGGGAAAAAGGTGGGCCAGGATGACAGCTGAATTCCAGCTTCCCCACCCTCTGCTTGAACATGTGCGTATGCACTACACTAATCTTGACCAATATTTACTGGCTTTGCAATCTGGAGAGCTGCGGTCACATTTGTTCATACTTGGTACAGAGGGCTGAAGAATGAAGACAGACAGCAGACAAATAAAACCAGACACGCCAATTAGGTAACTGGGGGGTTTGGGTTATTAGAAAAGGGCAGTGAGATACCCTGAAATACTGTAGAAATGTTTTTCCCCAGTTGCAACAGCTTGTGCTGAACCGTTTACTGCTTTCACTGGGAACACCCTGTATGCCAAAACATAATGCACAATGGCACATTTGTGACATTAACTGGTTATCAAGATAGTTTGGTTTTTAAAGGATGTATAAACAAGCAGTGTCTTTTTGATTGCCTGAACCCTTTTAGATTCATTCAGATTATCTTGATTATATTTTGTCTTACAGTAAAACAATAATTGTGTGCTTAAAGTCCCCATTAAGTTCAAAGAATCACCTGCAACTATGTCAGAAATTTGATCTATGACTTAGTTTTATCCAAACACTGTCTTTAGTTCTCATGTTCCTAGTTTTCGCTTGCATGCAACCCTCATGTGTTTAGATTTAAAATAACCCACTCTTTATTTTTATGATGGACTCAACTGAAGTGGTCTTGACTAGACCTGGAAAGGTCAGAGAAGCAATTAAACAGCTCCTCCTCCTTTGATCATTTCTGCCTTTGATCAAAGCAAAATGTGGAAAACCTTCAAGCCACTTTCTCCTCAGTGGGCGCATTGAATGTATTGTGTTAGTTCAATAGAAATAAAAAGCCAGATAAATAGTGGTATCCACTTGTGGAACACAACAATTGCACATGGTGATATTGTACTTTGTGAGGACTGAGTGTTGTGAGGCATTGAGCAACAGAAGCTCGGTAGCAGAGCCATTTACATCCTGTTCCTGAACTTCATTAACCACTTGGTCTTAATCATTAGGAAAAAAAATAAACATTTTGCATTGAAGAGATTCCTAATCATTTTGTGATAAAACAGGCAACGTCTGGTTCTGAAACTAGCTTTGAGCTGTCCCTTACTGCGGTCCACAAATCTCCCTTTAACAAAAACCCTAAACAAAACAAATCACGTTGAAGCAGCACATGAAATGCCCCTTTGTTTAAACTAAGTGAAAGCTGGGCCAAAATTACACTATTCAGCTTCCACATCTCATAAGATATCTCTCTTCATGCTGTTGTAATGTCAAAATCAACATACCACACTCAAGCGCAGCAACTATATATGGCAAAGGTTGCAGACAAACATGAAAAAGCAATGGCAAACACAAAGTGGTCAGCATGATGGCATAATTCAAATACATGGTTATTTTTATTCGTCTTTAACTTTCAGTGAACTAAAAACAAAAACAGGAAAGAAAATCAAACCAAGTTGGTTTCATGTATCTACAAAAAAGAAAAAAAAGAAAATGAAGCATAACTATTTCACATCCATGACCGCATTCTCAAATCATTGGTTTTCAAAAAAATGGAAGAGAAAAAAAAAATGTTATCATTGGGAATCCACTTCATTCAAGGATTCACCTGTACATATATCCAACTGTGCACCCTGTGTGCGTGGTATGTGCCGTTACTGTTTGACCATGCCCCCCGTCCCTCCCTCCCCACCCATCACATAGACATACACAGACCTCTGAAACAGGATGTACAAAAGCTTGTGTTTAGCATTAAACAGTGCAGGGCCTTAACATAAACAGCTATGGCTCCTCTTTTTCTCTCCCACTTCCCTTCTTCCCCCCTGCACCCAGGTTTGAAATTACATCACAGATGAGCAAGAACCCATCCATACAAAATGACAGGAAAACAGATCCGAGGGCACAGGAAGAAAAAACACATACATACAGAATACAGCAATTTTATCTACATCATTCTCACTTTGTTTTTTTAAAAACACACACACAAAAAAAATTGCACGCAAACAGCCAAATCAACAGTTAAAATATTTTAGAGAAAAAAAAACATGATTGAACCCTGGACACTTGTCTGCTTTGTTGCCATTTGGTGATGAGGGAGAAACAAGTTTAGGAGGTAGAGGGGGGGAAAAAAATAAAAAATAAAGGAGCGTTGGACCGACAGGGGAGGTGACAGATTGTGGGAGGGGGACCCAGCGGGTGTTATTTCTTGGCCTTGGCGGCCTTGGCTGTATTTCGTGGTGGGGTGACCGGTCTCCCAGATCCCATTCCTCCCCCTCCGCCATAAGGATACAATTTCTTATCTGCTGGCTTCAGAATCTGTAAAAGACAGACACACACAATGAGCCCTGTAATGACTGACAGAAATTTATCTGGCATTTAGTATTTAAATTTGACAGTATAGGTAAACTCAATAACGTTTGAAAGATAAAAAACAGAAATATACATGCTAAGCTATTCACTAGAATTCATTGAAAAAGGTGTGGTATGTGATTCTGGAGAAATCCAATGTAACTAACGTTAGCTAGGTTGTGGGTTAGCAGACTTTTGCTACAGTTGCTGCGGTGAGATTTTCAGTGAATTTGACAAAAACACATGTACTGGATTAGAATCACTTACCCCACCTACAGCAATGCATACTGTATTATTGTGGTTTGATACTGGTAGACAAAATACAAGCAGCATACAAATATGTTTCAAAATGAAAAGTACCTGGAAGGAGCACATGAGTGTCTCATCCACACTCATCATGGCACCGGCGTTGTCAAACTCTCCACAGTAGTTGGGAGCCGAGAACAGGGTCACGAGCTGCCTCTTTGCGAAAAACTCATAACCATCTTCTACCACCTCAGGACAGAAATGAGACCATTAACACCCCATACAATAAAACTAAAGCGAGAAAATAACCAATAACTGGTCAGCTGGTGACTCGCTTTGTTGGTACTGTTTTAGTTCATTGAGTGAAGTGTTTTTTTATTATTATTGTTATTTACAGCTTGTCCTGCCGAAACAGGAGTCATGGATCTTGATTACCACTAGATGTCACTACTACTTATTGACATGGATGATTGTAATGTACATTACATTTTAGCATTTTTAAAGTAATCAACTGCCTTTCTTGTTTATTTATAGTGAATATTTTAAAATATCCCTTTTGGTAGCGCTTAAATATGTTGAACTGCAATACATTCCTTAATAGTGGTACACCACTATTCCATATCATAAATTAGAGAGAGGACAAATGGAAGTCCCACAGCTTCAGTTAGTAGGAACACCAGACCTCCTGGCTAGACATTACCTGATGCGCCCTGCATATCAGGTCCATGTCGTGTTTGTGCAAAAATTTGGCCACCACATCTGCCCCGAATGTGAAGGAGACACCACGGTCGTTTTCACCCCAGCCCAGCACGTCTTTGTCTGGATCAGCCCACAGCAGGTCACACAACAAACCCTGGTCAGGCACGTCTGTGGGTCGCATTACTCTGCGGATCTGCTCCATTGACTGAAGATCAGGAGAGAGGCCTGGAGAAAGATCATACATCCATGTTAGTCTGATTCTTATAATCTAATGCGCATCCTGTAACATCTTATTTTAACAAGGCCTACCTCCATGACAGCAGAATATTTTCTCATCTACAATGGCAGCCACAGGTAAACAGTTGAAGCAGTCTGTGAAGGTCTTCCACAGCTTAATGTTATACCGTCGCTTACCTACCCACAAAAGAGGAGAGATGAGAATTTAGCAAAACACAAAAAAGCAGTCAAAACTAGATTTGACATTCTTCGTGTTTACAAATATACTCTGCACTTACACTCATCATAAAAGCCATAGATTCGATTAATAGAAGCGCACTCATGGTTTCCACGCAGCAGGAAAAAGTTCTCTGGATATTTGATCTTGTAGGCTAGAAGCAGGCAGATAGTCTCCAATGACTGCTTTCCTCTGTCTACGTAGTCACCCAGGAACAGGTAGTTGCTTTCTGGGGGGAAGCCTCCATATTCAAACAGCCGGAGCAGATCATAGTATTGACCATGTACATCACCTGCAGACAGCAGCAGAGAGGGGTAATTAAAACACCATACCTACACTCCTACTAGGTGTAGGTGCATTTGCATACAGAGTCAGCACTTATCAAGTGATACAACCGACAATTTCAGACAACTGTCTAGTAAATCATGAACAAAACCTCAGGAAATTATCTTCTCTTGCATCAGAGCCAGTCTACAGTGTAACCTCTTAGACTTTATATTTCACACTTGGTCTTGGTGAATTATTGAAGCTATATTAAAAATATATAAAAAATAAATAAAAAAACCCCACTTACCACAGATTTTGAGGGGAGCTTCTAATTCAAGCAGGATTGGCTGGCTCAGGAAGATTTCACGGGATTTTAGGCAAAGGCCACGTATCTCACCCTCTGTCAGCTGGACGTTCTTCCCTGGCCGAGAGCCCTTTACTGAAAAAAGGGAGATAAGGGGGTAGACATTTGATGGGAGATACAATAACACTACAAACAAAAATCTATTAGCTGTACGAAAGACTGAATGGAGGAGGACATAAGGCACAGCAATGAAACGTGATCCTCTTGATATTAAACCAGTCTACCAGACTGGGAAGTTAACACCTCCCACCAGCCAAATGCCGGCAAATTCTGTTAGCAGTCCAGTTTTTAGCAGGTAAACATCACTTAGACGTCCCTTGAGGGACTGGTTTGAATGCAGAGAATGAATTTCACAACAAGTATGTGACAATAAAAGGTATCTTCTATTCTTATATTCTATTACTCTAAAGTTTAGAAATTAGAAGTTACTATAACAAAATACAGTGTTTATCAAACCCCAACCCAACAAGATGAGCCTGTGCAGTATGTACACTTCTGAGAGAACCTGATCAGTGGAAACTAGCCTGACACCGTCAGCCTCAGAAGCAAGTCTTTCTGCTTAGGTAGCAGTTCAAACCCAATATATGAGAAAGACATAAAACCCACTTTCCCATTCTAGATGATGTAGCTGCAAAGACATTGCAAACACCTAATTAGGACTCTTAGGGCGCACTGTTAAGAAATTAAGAATGGCACAGCATCGACTTTAATAACAATGTTTCAAATAAAAAATAAAAAAAGGCCAAGAAACAGGTTGTAAGATGAAACTATATCAACAGATACAAGAACTGTATTTATCATGTGATAATTAAAGTAACACTCTGTTCCAGTCATCCAGATACTTTCACTGATGCTGTCTCGAGAATTCAGCAGGTTTGTCATGTCTCTTCTTGTCATGTTTTTTTTTTTTTTTTAAACACATACCAAACTCACGCTGAATGAAGCCAAAAACAAATCAAGAGACTTGAACATAGGTCTGGGCAATAAAACAACGATAATTATGGCAATATAATTTTCCTCAATAACAATATTACAAATGTTAAATATATTGTCAGTAAATGTTTGTTTGAAATGTTTTAATTAATTAAGATTTATTTATTTTGTTGAGGAAAAAGGACTGAAAAAAGATTATCATAATTGTTCTGAATGTTCTACCTCAGATGTGTGAAGTGATCCACTCTTTGGCATCATGCATTTGTCTCGCTCAGAACAGTTTTAAACCACAGTTTACCATCTGGTTTCACTCAAGAGCAAAAATCTGCCTTTAAACTTAATAATTATTTGACATTTATCAATTTTGAATGATAATAAATGTTTTTATCATGATAACATTTTTGGCTATATGGCCCAGCCCTACTTGAATGTGAACACAATTTATTACCCCGACAGATTATTTAGTCTTAAAAGTCTTAAAATGGAAACACGTCTTTGTGGCTCTAATGCTAGAGAAAGCAGGAGTTGGTAGTCTCATACAAGTTCTGAAAAGATTTACATCAACTACTGCCACTACCACTGCTTATAAATCAGATCAAAATATTTACATAATATTGACATGCCAACTGTAGGGTGCGGACATGACGCCATGAGACTATATGTCAGCGACTGTGTGTGTGTGTGTACTGTAACAAGACTGCCTCTGATGGAGTAAGGAATGTGGAATGTGGTTTGTTTGTATCACAGACAGAATCAATCACACCCCCATTCCTACACGTACTGCTTGATGCCAAAGTAGATCCCAACGCAAACTATGCAAGGCTACTAATGAGGAATCTAATTTCCATCCAACTGTCTGACAATTTTTTTCAAGCTGGGTGTGAACTAATCTCTCTTCAGTGTGTTTATGGAATTGATTTAACAGTTGTCAGGTGTTCACAGCTTAACAGACAAATAACAGGCGAATGACTTAATCTGTAAAATGCCAAACAATCAAAGTGACACAGATTAAAGGCAAATAAGAACAAGCACTACAGCTGTTTACAATGTAGATTTGTTTTACAACATTGGGTCTGTAATTGTACTTCCTGCTACAGGCAAAACTCAAAGCAAATGAACAAAAACTGGTTTAAAATGTACTCTATTTCCTTCACAAGACATAAATTTTATTTCACAAATCAAAGTTTAAATAAAATGACGATACTAATGCACCAGAGTAGCATTCAAACAAATAAGGATTCAATCTCTAAGTACACCATTCTGTTTCATTACACTTGCAGTTTGCCGTTGTGGTGAAAATGCTTTTGTCTGCAATGACAATTGTGTAGCAGAGAGCCATAAATCACAGCGTGCACAAAAGAAACATTTGTGACACAGAGCTCTTGATTTCATGTACCAGGGCAAGTACTTAAACACAAAACACTGATGTCACAAGAGATCAAATTAACATGTGGTCTCTAAAATCATGATTGAATTTATTATAATTATTATACAATTAATGAAACTACATCATAGAGACAAGAGGATTAAATTAAATATAAACAATTTGGAAATCAAAACATTGCAAATCGCTGCAGGTTAACTCTTATTTGGCAACTTTTGATAAATTGTGTCACAGATTGACTGCAACAGAAGCAATTGCTAATAACTGTCAAACTAACATTTGCATGCATACATACATATGGCAACAGAGGCACAGATCAAGTTTTTGCCCAAGCGATGCACCATAACCTGAGGAAAGATATCCTTTACTTGTTGTGAATTGTTGTTACATGCAGAGCACCTGGCACTTAATTACAGACCATCTCTCAGTAAAACAAATCCACTTTTAATAGTGCTTACAAAACACTTTGATAGGGAGGGTGAGAGTAGAAATAAACAAATGGATGTAAATTAATGGCACTACGCTGAAGCGGCAACTAAAAGCAACGTCCTAAACAATTAAAAGTAGGTATAAATACTGCAGTGAACTAAAGTGCAGTCACTTTAAACCTGGATTATAGAAGGTTAAGCTCTGACAGAGCTTACTCCAAAGTTAGCCACATAGCCAGTGGACAACAGAGAGCTTATCATGAGGGGTACAGACAAAAACTTTTCCACTAGACTGATCAGGGGGCAGAAAACAAAGAGCTTGACCAGTACAACAGAAAAGCTGTTGCGGTGCCGGAGTGCTGGAATCAACAGTTGGATTGGTCCAACACTCCTGACTCAGTGCTTGGTGTTCTTGCTGAGTTTATGTGATGTTATGCTCTCCAGACAATGGCATTAGCAACATACACTCCCAGAGTTCACTTAGCTCTAGATCTACAAATGTAATCCAATTGAGACCGCTAATTATCCAAACACATTTAATTGGTTTGGTCTCAAAACACAGCCAGCCAGCAGGAGAGTTTCCATAAGAGACTGAGCTGATGTGGGATATAATTTATCAATCTTCTGACCTGTGGTAGAGCAAGTATTGATGAGTCTACTATTGTCTTGAACAAAGTAGTTTAACACATAGTAATATTAACTGGAGAGTGGTTACTATGAGCAATAAAACCACAAATGCTAACAATAAAAAGGTCAAGTGAGTTACATAAGAGGATATAAATACTGCCACTGTCAGGCTTGTTTGTCTTCTCCTGCATTTGGCAGACAACCTTATCACAGCCCAAGTATAACACTCCATGTACAAAACACTCCAGCAGTCACATCAAACTCCCAGGAGGCACCATGAGTGCACGTGCATATTTATGAATAATCCCTATCACCTCCATCAGCTCGGTTTAGGCAGATCATGCAGGCCTGTATTTAAGAAGGTAAATAAACACAGGGGTAAGGGCAAATTTAATTGAGAAATTTCTCTGTACCCAATGTTTCTCATTTACAGGCCAAAACACCTTCTGATACTGTGACTAAAGGCAATTTTTATGAAATCATCAACTTGTAGAGGCTACAAACCACCTCAACATGTGATGATGCTCCTGCGAAATAGTCACACAAAGAAGCAGGCACAAGTTCCACATCCAGCACACTTCCCTCCCAAGGCCAACTACAGAGGTCACAACCTTATTTCTTGTGTTCTTTAGATTAACTGTACAGTTGGGTGTGAAGGGATTTATGCTTGATGTCCTTAGGGCTCTACATTCATCATGTGGATTGAAGATAAAACAGCCGTGTTTTCCCCCTCACACACATATACCTCCAACCATAACAAATCTGTTTTCAGACATGTAAAACCTACTACTTAGGAATTGTTCATGTCACATTTGTAGAGCTACAACAGCTTACCCATCCGACTACAGAACATCAAGTTTCTTATTTGCAAAACAAATAATTTACGCACACCATGTTTTACAGTTACAACATAAAAATGACTTTTGGAACCATAAATGTTATTTTTCATGGGGAGCACATAAGATACACCAAACACTGCTGAGTAGGGGGGGGAAAAAAAATGTAGTAAGCCGTTTTTATCTTGCCTTAAAAACGGCAGTTAAGTAGCAGAGATGGCCAACCAGCAGTTTCACACAGTATTACAGTGAGCGTGTGCCAATCAAAGCATCTTTGTTTGTACACCTCATTAAACAAGCCACTCTGGCCAGGGTTGTGTCTGCAAATTGTAATCTGAGTCTAAACTGCAAAACAGTAAGCATAACAAGGGCAGCCCACGTTGTAACTGAAAAGCTCTGATGGCAAGCAGTAACAAATGAGGTCGGAAAAAACAATGACCACAAGACTTCCTACAGTGTCAATGAATGTATGTATACATGTACGAGTCAAAGTACTAATCCTTCGCAGTCATGTTACACATAGCCCTTCTCAATTCCTCTGACTATTCAGACTGGGCATTTCTCATATTCTGAAAGAAGTAAGAAATCTCATATCAGCATCACCTCCTCCATGGGTAAAGCAAATGCAAAAACCAAGGCAGTGACGTATAAGGTGTAATTTGTCTACACTGTGTGTGATGTTTCCCCATTTCTGTGCCATTTCACCCACTTCCCCTTGATCTGCAGACAACGCTATAGCATTGTAAGTTATCTCAAATGAAAACACATATCGATGACTATAATAATAATAAAAAAATCTATCAAAAAACGTAAGCTGAAGAATATGTAACGTTAGGTTTATTTGGCTACACCCGTGCATCCAAATCCAGTCACAGAGCCGGCGAGCACATCAATCTTAAGTAGGCTACTAGAAGAAGATAACGTGACTAACTCACCTTTTCCTTTAGCTGACTTATCTGGTATATACACAATACACGTTTCATTACCATCAAGATACTCCCATAACGTAAATTAAGTACGTTTCTGAATGGGTTTGGTCTTTCTCACCTTCCAGGAGACGCTGAATTATAGAGTCGATGTTTAATTTGTCTGGCTCCGCCATTTTCTTTATTTTCTGACGTTCTCGAGCAGTCAAGACCTTGGTTTTCCGCGTTGGTTGCACCTTAGATTTCAAGAACAGAAAGAAACAGAGACGGAAACCAACAGTTACTCACAATATACGTTTTAACATCGGTTAGCTAACGACTGAGCATTGCTAGCAGACTGGAACGATGAATGATCTTATGCGAGCTTGAGCTAACCAAGCTAGCTGAGCTATGTAGCTACTACTAACGTTAGCCAAGTAACGTAGGCTAAACTAGCAGCAACACTGAACGGCTAGTTAGCTAACGTTAGCTAAGTAACATAACTTATTAACAGATAAAATCTCCCCGAACCCTGTCTTCGGTCTAACGGCAGTCGTCCTGGGATGAAAAATGCCTTAAAATTGATCCTCTTTGCTGAATCGTGGCCCCTTTTCTTTGACTTGTCCGGGTCCCTTCCCTCTTCCCCCAGGAACTTTAAAAGAGGGCCGTTTCCACCGAAATGTCTACGGTAACGTAGGAGGTTGAATCAAACACAGTTCTTCACACGTTTCTCAGAAGATGATTGGTCCATCCAGGAATTTAGAACTCGAATTGTTGTATTTGATTGGTCGCATGCTGGGTCCGTCTGACACTTAAGGCCCTCCCCCAGCCATTTACAACGGCTACAATGCTCATGGAGATTTAAATTGGAACTCAAATTGCGCCACCAAGTGTTTAGAAATGGAATTGAAACCTAAAAATACCAAGGGAAGATCATAGTTTTCGGTTTTAGAGAGAAACAAAATGGGCTTGTACATTTCCTCCACGACATAGCTGGTATCACTAAAAACGTTTGGTTCTTGACTAAAGTAAAGTGCTGTGAGTTTGAACTGTGTCATTTGAGTTTGTGTTGATAGACCCAACCAAAGCGTCTGTGGAATTGATGTTTAATTAAAAGGAACCCTTTTAAATGTAATTCTGTCTGCTAGGACTTAAAACAAATATTATAGAATACTAGAAAGCAATGACCAATCTTATATTTGTTTTAATAGCATTTAAGTTTCCTGACTGTCCAGCTGTTTTGACCATGTAAAAATAGATCAGAAAGATTTAGACTGGTACCTCAGTTTACATTGACACTTATTGTGATGTAATGTAACAGATACACTTGTTAAAATACTCTACTTAAGTAAATATGTACTACTTGTACTTTATTTGAGTATTTAGAAATATGATATTTTCATGCTATTTGATAACGGGAAATGTTATCCTGTAGCCTATACATTCTACCCTAACACATTGTTGACAGCTTTAGTTATGGTAATAGTTATGGTAATAAATACTTGTACAGATTAAGATTTTCCATACAAAAGATATGATGAGTTTGTGAAATATGAAGCTTCTTATAATAGATTAGATATAAAACAGCATATGAAAAAGTTAGAAAAAATAGACCGTAATTATCAACACTAATAGTAGCCTATGGTATAAAACTCAGAGGGGGCATATGTCTGTATCTGTACTTTTACTTTTAATGGCATACTTTTAATGTTAATGTTTAATTTAGCTAAAAGCACTTGGGTACTGTTACTGTAGTTTAGTGTGTGACATTGTTACTTTGACTTAAGTTTTAAAAAAGTGCTAGAAGAAGTCTAAATAGAAAAAAAAAAAGCTTCTCAATATTGCTGGTAATATGACATTATTCTTATACAGTTAATGTACAGCATCTGTTAAAATACAGTTAATGTCCATGTAAAATGTGAGCTCTGTGTACCATCACTGAATCCAAATCCAATCTACAATAAAGAAAATTCTGTATATTATGCAAACTGTGCGTGTTTCTAATTATGTTTATGGCAGGTACACATATTTGGTTTCACAACATTCCTTTTCAACTTCTTTTATTTCCTCCCAGTTATCCACAAAACTTACGCAAAATCCTAACCCCACTCTGTCTCGGTTTCCTAAATCAGTCTCCATGCATTCGTCATCACAGTTTCGACAGAGGTAGGTTTATGGGGGTTGAGCTAGGATGTTCAGGTATGATAGCCTTGGTGGTGTTTTCTTTAGATTATTAACATAGAGAGAACAATTGGCAGTGTTCCAGATGGAAAATTATTCACTCTGAGAATCTGAATCATCACAGCAATCACAAAAACATCTGAGGCTGGATATTGTTCTTATCATACTTTTTTCCCATGGAAACTGAGATTTCTCCACAGAGGTGTGGGCTCCACAACAGGTCAAAAAGAGAGGGAAATATACGTATAGGACAAGTCCAGTCTGGTTCCCTCTTGTTTACTTCAGCCCCACCCTATACCTCACATTCCCCTACAAATACCCCATCTTATCACACAGCCTCTGCACAATACCTGAGCATCCAAAAACAGCATCTGCAAACCAGCACACAGGAAGAAAGGAAGAACCTCAAGAAACACAGACTTAAATTTCACATAAAGTTTCGAGGACAGAGAATACAGGGTAGGCATCTTTTTTTACACACTTTTTATTCAGATGGACAGCCTATGCTTTGAAAAGAGACATCATTCTGCAAAAGCTTAAAATGACAGAGGATGAAAGGTTTGGCTGAGGATTAGTTGAATACCTTTTTATGGGCACCACCAAAAATCACAAAGTGCAAATGAACAGATGTGAGAGAGCAAATGGAGGGGTAAAAAAAGGTATGAAAGGCTCAGCAGCATATTTATGATTTTCCAGAAATTGTTTTTTTCTGTGTGTGTGTGTGTGTGAGCTCTGTTTTAAGAGACGTTTGATAACAATTTTTAAAAAATTGTAATTTGCAAAAAAACAGGAAAAATTAACAGGAATAATAACATCTGGTTTTAAATCCAGTGACCCACATCACATTAGTTTTCAGTGTTCAATCTGTTTTGAGACTTTGTGATCTGGGGCGAGTCACATTTGCGTAAGATATTTTTGTCCTGGTCTAATTCCAGCTCAAGTTACAGTGTCCAACCATGACTGGGTTGGGTTATTGGCTCTCCTTTGTTCTGTCACTAGATTTTGGTGTAGGGAATTAGGTTTAATGGTCATCGGTGGGTATTATTTGAGACATTTCTAACTTACAGTTACAAGAAATTGGGTGTTTTCAGATAGTGAAGATAATTTGTATTGTCTATATAGATGAAGAACAAAGAGAAGGGCTTCCTCGAATGAAAAGAGGATTATTCACATATCTGTAACAAATATACTGTATAAAAAATAAAGATATGAATAGAACATAGGTATATAGGTTTTTTCCAAGCACCTGTATTTAAGTAAAATTTTCTGACATTTTGTTGACATTTTTTCTTAATCAAAATATACAATTTATTTAATGGCAACGGTAATCGGCCAAACATTTAATTTACTATATATAATTAATTAAAGATCCCCTGACTCAAGATCAAAAGTATTTTCTTAAACCGCATCGCTTTTTGCATTGCTCTTCATAGTTAATCTGCCAGGTGTGGGTCCATTTTCCTGAAAATTATACAGCACAATTTTGGCTGTATGAAATTGAATTATACAGTGACCATAAAATAAAAAAAGTAAGGAAGATTTTCGAAGTAAGATGTGAGGGAGTGGTTCAGGGAGTGGTTCAGGCCGTCCTAGCCGGAGATCCATCTGGGGCCTGTCAGGACATGAATTTGTTCTATAACATAGCCCTGAGCAACATATTCCTGTGAAGGAATATATTGCTCAGTAACACCGCAGTAACACCGCAGCAGCAACAGATAAACCTTAGATCAGGGAAGAGATTCAACAAGCCCTCCTCTGAAACCAAAGGCGGGGAACCAAAAGAGTTTTACTCAAACAAAGAGCAGTACTAAGAATTAAAAGTACCTCCCCTCCTCAGATGGCTGGGGATGCAATTAATCTTTGTGATTTTCCTCTCCTTCTTTTCCAGAATGGGATCTGTTGGAGTTCAGATTGTTTGTGTGGCCCTTGGGGTCTTCGGCCTGATCGGGACCATCATATGCTGCGTTGTCCCAAACTGGAAAGTGTCCTCCTTCGTAGGATCCAACATTGTGACAGCACAGGTAATGAAACACCTAAACTCTTTTATTATGGAAGGTAATGAATAGAAAGAAAGTGTGTAAGTATGGCAGGGAAATAAAACCAACATTTAATGTCTAACGTACAGTGTACTCTTCTGCCACACTGATAGCATGTATCTGGAATCGGTTTTAACTACACATTATACTTTCCTGAAAGTACAGTATATTTAAACCCATAGTTAAAATATTAAACACAGGATTGAAACACACCATCACTACCAAACTGACTGACAGGTCTTTAAATACAGGAACTAAAACAACACAACAACTAAATCTGATTTCTGATACTGTTAGAGAATTGCTCATATTTGTAATGTTTGTAAATACTAGGTCTGTAAAAACAGACCTACTGATCATTTCCATTGGTAACCAACATACAAAATGTATATTTTTCATCATTATATAATATATGCAAATATACATTTAAGTCATTGCGTCATAATTTTACAGATTTGGCCTATAATCTTTTATAATGGTCATTAACTTTAGGGTGAACAGTTTAGCCACTTGTTTTTTCTTTTTACCACAATTAACTACAATATGTTTAAGAAATTTCTTTATGGATTCAAGTCACATAAGAGTAACCGCACTGAATTTATTATTATTACATTAAGACTTAATAAAATAAGACTATTAACACTGAAAGCATTTAAAAAGTAGGTATAAAATATAAAAGTATTCAGATTGCACGCCTATTATCTATTATGCCATTAGATTACCATTACTGATCCATTATTGTGTTAGTAGTATTTTACTGTTGAAGTTGGGTGGACCTTATTTGAAAGTTAGGTTAGGTTTTGTCATATACTGTACTTTAAAGGCCCTGTAAACTTATTTTCTTAATCAGCTTCTTACTATGAGTGAGCTACATGGACTAAAAATGTTCTGCCAAAATTAGAACAGCTTATTATTGTCGATAAGTCGCTGCACATGAGAGATTTCCTTCTCTGTGGGGTGGGGCTCATTTGACGATGTTGTTTTAGTTATGAACTTTTAAGGAAATAGAGAAGATTTAAAACCAAGTTTACCAACTTTAACTATAACAGTGTATCATTTTTTTATGAGCTCATCATATGTTTTGTAGGAAAAAGTATTTATTTATGGTATATATTTCCCTTGTTGTGGAGTAGAAGTATAAAGTTAAGTACCACTGGACATGAACTATATTTGAAATGACTTAACCCCTCATGTCTGTGTGTGAGTAGAGCTCCCAGGATGGTCTGTGGATGAGCTGTGTGGTGCAGAGTACCGGCCAGCAGCAGTGCAAGAACTACGACTCCCTGCTGGTGTTGGCCTCTGACCTGCAGGCCGCCCGTGCCATGACCATCATCAGCTGCATGCTCAGCAGCCTCAGCGTCCTCGTCCTGTTCTGTGGGGCCGACTTCACCACCTGTATTGAGAATGAAGAAGCCAAGCCCAAGATCAGCCTAGGGGCCGGGATAGGCCTGCTGCTGGCCGGCCTCTTGGTGATC